ACGTTACACTAAATCAGGATCATTAATTGGTCAATGATCACGTGGGGTGAAAATTTGATGGCGATACTGGGGTAGTCCGTGTCCGTAGATGGTCCGGATACTGGGGTAGTTGTCGGGATAGCGGGTGATCACGTGTATTTGAATCAATACGTAATAGATATTACTGTACTAATATAGTTAGAGTTGGCACAGTAAATTATCGTTAAATTTTGGAAAATTATATATATCTATGTATTATATTAAGCGATTTGCTATTTCCACTATGGATATGTAGGTCATAGGGTTAGGGGTCAGGGGACAGATTTTATAACGTTAGTCATTTCATGGTGGAAATAGCAAATTACCATGGTTAAAAACTGTCCTAGCATTACCAACCTAAAAAATTTCTCTATCAGATTTCAAGATAAGGTGTAACGCAGAAAAAACGCAAAAAATCAAAACAAACCAAAAAATCGCTTATAACTCAACATTTTATCTATAAATTCACCTTTCGCGCACTAACAAGTTTTTCTTGAAAACTTTGGTACCACTAAACCTTTTACTAACCTAACTTTATAGCAAAAGTAGATCTTAATCTAACAGCAAAATGTTTTTAGCGAAAGTTTTTAGATTGATAATGCTACTGTAGATCATTTGTGAAAATAGTAATTCCCTATATTAAATAGATTACAGTCCAGAAAAATCGTTATTTGGAAGTTGCTTAAGTATTGTATTTATTTTTTGTATTTATTATACGTATTTTAATAAAATATGCTACATCGATATCAATATAATACATAATCTAAAACTCGTGATCACCCACCACCCTCCATACCGACGATAAATTTTAAGGTGGTCCGTAAAATATGAATTTAGCTGTAAACATAATTCTGGTATAATTACTTTGTCGGTGAATTGAGTGTCGGTGAATTGATTGTCAGTAAATTGAGTGTCGGTGAATTGTTTGTCGATGAATTGAGTGTCGGTGAATTGAGTGTCGGTGAATTGAGCTTGTCGGCGAATTAAGCTTGTCGGTGAATTGAGCTGTCGGTGGATTACTGTAAGCATGTCGGTAAATCAAGTGTCGGTGAATTAGGTGTCGGTGAAATTAACATGTCGGTGAATTGATTGTCGGTGAAATGCTGTGTCTACGAAATGAGTGTCGGTGAAATTAGCGGCACCGGTCACGGAGTCTGTCTTGAAGTGATCGATTCCACCAGGAATCTTAAAGATCCTTGACTGCCGTAAAAAAAGATCATAACCAACTCTTGATCGAAAGCCAGTAGACCTAATAAACAGAAGTATTTATTTCAGAAATCTGACCATTGTTCGAAGTTACACTCCCTACCAGCACTGACAATTTACCTTAAGCCAAACTAATGCTTCCAGGCATTATTTCACACTTATACGAACACCTTCCGGCGTGAGATGATATAATAGTGTCAATTGAATCCGGTTAGATACTTTAAATTCTACGTAAATTTAAAGTTCTTGGTTCACCTAGTATCATCCAAAAATTTCAGAGCGCTTAAGCCGACGAAAAAGTTGTTTCTCTGTACTTTCGAATAACTTTTGTGATGACACAATTTTAGGACGAACGAGATGGATTCTGTATACTGAAATCACATGGAAGGTACAACCACGAACTTCTACGAGAGTATAAAATGAACAAACTTAAGTATCTCTCTACTAGTCCCTGATACTAATTTTTCGCAAGGTGTGAGAGTTTTGGTTAATTTTGTTTTGAAGATAACGCGGTATTATATTTAGTTTACCCTAGCATTTAGTGATAAGGAAAAAGTTAGTTGTAAACGAAAATATTAATTACCTGTATTTTGCTTGAGTTTGATTAAATACTTCTTATTATCTAATAAACTTCCATATAAGAATCCAAATAGTACTAAAGTGGTTGAGTTAACGTTAGCCCAACGCGTCATAATAAGAGAATACAAACAGATCCTATATCATCGGATTGCCCAATCAGTTTGATAGCAAAATTCTACTTTCATGTGCCATTACACATGCAAAAGGACTTCTGATTGGCTGATGCCCGAAAATTTATTTTCAAGTTTTGACATACTGATACGAACTTTCTAAGGTTCATTACAATGGTCCGTAAACTTAAATATCATGAGCAGAAATTGCTCAAGAAGGTTGACTTTCTCCAGGTAGTATAATAAATATATATATATATATTTTTTTCTTTTATTATTATCACAAAATTTAAAATTTAGCATTTAATTTTTTCTGTTGAATAGTGGAAAAATGAGGATAATATTCGAGAAATCCAAGTTATTCGTCGTTATCACTTGCAAAAACGAGAAGACTATCACAAATATAATAAACTATGTGGATCAATAAAAAAGCTTGCGAATAAAATTTCTTTATTAGATCCACGAGATCCTTTTAGAAATAAACAAGAAACTACATTATTGGATAAGCTGTATTCTATGGGCTTAATTACGGCTAAAAAACAGTTTAGTCAAGTTGACAAAATTACCGTCTCTGCCTTTTGTAGGTGAGGTATAAAATTTTTGTAATAAATTGGTTTGGAGAAATGATTATATGGTTTTTTGGATAAAAAACTAAAAATTCTTTTGAGATTAACTAAAATGGTGAAATAATTTCACCA